TAAAAAAAAAATAGAAAGTTCAACTGAAGGCAGATGTTAGTTCAATTTAAGCTTCCTAACAACTTAANATATGAGGGCCAGTGACACTGCGCCCTCTACAGCTAAGATGGTGAACAACAGCTTGACCTGGAGCTGGGCTGCCGTGAGTCGCCAGTGTCGGAGTAGGCTGCAGTGGGGCTGGCCGGCAGCCAGCGGGAGCCGCCGTGAGGGGCTGGCAGCCGGCGTGAGCTGCCGTGAGCCACTGTGAGTAGCCGTCCAATGGCCAGCGAGCGACTGCCTCACCCGAGAAGAGCGCAATGGTAATACCAACATGGGCCAGTGAAGTGACGTCCTCCACAACTAGACTGAAGAAGAAAAGGACAGCAACTTGTCTGTTCCCTCCCTCAATTCCCCAATAAAAATCTTAAGAAAAAAGAAAAAAAGAAATGTCTAACAGCAAAGCCAACAAGTGACAGTTGTAGAATACATATTATTAAATGAAGACATTGAGAGTTGATAAGTTAAAGCTACTGTAAAATAACTTTATAGATAGCTCAAATATACCACGAGTATTATGTTTTATTAAACATAACAGATTTCTTGCAAGAAAGGGGAAAAAAATCAACCTAACTGACCCACCACTCACTTATGGTACTATATTTTGAAAACTGAACGAAAACTACTCTCGCTTGCAGAATATTAAGATCTTGCAGTGTGGGAAATGCCTTTTTAGGCATGCAGTAGATTACACAGAGGGTGCCCCAAAAATATATACACATTTTAAGAAAGGAAAGAACTGTATTAAAATTGTAACACTCAATATATACCGATAACAAAGGATGAATACAAGTCATGTGTATACATGTTTTTGGCACCCCCGGTATTAATATTCATCAAAATGTCTTGCCCCTTCCCAAGGGGTAATAACATATCCCTACCCTGTTGAACTCAAGTACGGCCATGTGACTTGCTTTGGGCCATGGCCACGTGACCACGTACCACTTCCAGGAGCAAACTTAAAGAGGTAGTATGAACTTCACCTTGTTCTCTTTTCATGCCCTGCTCTGAAGAGTAGCAATGACGCAAACAGAGGCTGCTCCATCAACAGACTGAGGTCAACACAGAGCAGAGCTGCTGCTGACCCACAAATATAGGGACATAGAGGACAACTGGAAAATCAATCTTTGTTTTGAGAACCACTGAGATGTTGGGTCATGTAGAATAATTACTATCTTGATTGATATTAAGTGTCTTACATAGGGCACTTAAAGCTTAGATGGATAATAGGAAGTATTCAGAAATTCAATGGTGAAATTCGGTAGGTATAAATAAAATATTTTCTTACAGAGTATGCAGACAAGCAGTTTTTCAGTTAAATGACAGCTTGGCTAAGCGGCAAGCCAAATAAAGGTTTTGTAAATTAAAATAAAGATGTGGGTTATGCAGTTTGATAGCAATTTAATCAGCATTTGAAGTGTCTAGTCTAACAAGAGACACAAGATCTGCCATCTTTAATCCAGTTGCTTCTGACATGGGCAGACAGGATATCAGCTAGCTCCTAAGGAGCTAGTCATGGAAGTGATGGTCAAAATAGCTTCACATTTGTCTCCATGGATATATCTTGTAATAAGGCAGTTCTAGGGATTAGATAAAAGTCAAAAGTCTAGTCACCCAAACAAGGCCCCAAGGTTACCTAAACCTTAAAACTCCATCTTGCTGATTGAACCCTTTAGCATTAAACAACATTTCTCTATTGCGCTTCAGTCAGGGGTGGGAGGGTGGTGCTAGCCTGGTGGTGGGAAGGTAACACTGGAATGATGGGTCCGGAAGAGTCCCTGCTGCTCCTTAACATGAGAGACTTTCCTTAGGCTTTTGTGCCTGAAGAGGCTTGTCTAGGCGGGAAAATGGCACCCACTCAGCTGCTTAACATATGTTGTCAGTTGGCATTGCCTTTGGACCTTGGCACACCACGGGTCAGAGCAGGCCAGCATTCTTCCAGTTCAACTCAGCGGTTGTTTTCCCTCTTCTCCCTTTCATTACTCACGGATCTTTCATTAGGTCAGGTGCCACTTGGGATCTCTTCTACCCCAATCTTCTGTCTTTACATATCACAGGCAAGATATAAAATTCGCTCCTAATGGCTTGGCCATACTTTATGGTGACTTAAACCAATATCCAGAAGCTGGTGGTAACTGCACTGTTGCAAAGACCAACCAGGGAAAGTGAACTGAGAATGTATCCATCAACCAAGGCTTTGCCTAGAGGATTCACTAGGGACAGGCCCTGTGCTAGGTACCATGAGAACCAATAGAAATCCTAAGGTCCAGGCCTTAAGCTCAAGTGGCTTTTTAACTCTCTTTGATGAGAAAAGGAAAAGAGAAAGGAAATAAGAGTACTCCTCTTTTGAACTAGCACAATCTAGAAACGAATAGCTTGCGGGTGCACAAACCACCCTCAAGGGCAGGTGAGATTAGTAAGGATCACAGAACACGTGCAAGGTAACCTCCCACCAAATAAAACCTTCATGGGAGGAAAAAGGAGAAGTCTAGCAAAAGGAGAGAACATATTGGGTGGTCGGAAAAGTAATGACGCATTTTTGCATAGAAAACATAGAAAAAAATACATCATGACTTTTCCGACGACCCAATACTATGGACAAAAAAAGGGGTATGTACAAGTTCAATAACCAAAAGTACCCTCACAAGGAATCTAATCATAAATTCCTAACTGGGCAGGTCATGGTGGGTAGTCATGCCCCAAGCCTACAACTTCTTTATTTATTTTTTTAATTTTAAAATTTATTTTTTTTAAATTAGTTTCAGGTGTACAACACAGTGCAATAGTTATACTTTTTACCTCTCCCAGTGACAACACTGCCCCAATCTATAACTTCCTCATAAAATATTTTTAAGCCAGCCCTGTCCACTGTTCTTATGCATCTAGGTTCACATACCTTTGAAATGCCAGAAGCAATCCTCTTTTCTAGACCCCTCAAAGGTGTAAACCACCCCAAGGGAGCACATAATCTTGTTAAGTATCCTGTAATCCAATCTTCTCCCTGCTTTCTCCCACCTTCATGTAATCTTCCTTACACTCCTTCTTTAGTTCCAAATGTATAAATGACACTGCAAAACTGTCATTCTCCAGGGCATCTGAGACCTTGCTTCCTGGCAATGTTGTCAGTTTGGCTCAAATAAATTCTTGTAAAAATTCTCTACAGGTTTGGACATTTCTTATGCAAACAGTATGATACCAGCTTGATTAAAACAGCAAAGCATATGATTCAACCTTAAGTCATTTATATATCAACAATTTCAATTAGGCTGCAAGAAAAAAGATACTTTAAAGATCTCAAGAAAATAATACTAGAATTCAAGTGAGAAAAAAAATTAATGGCTGTAACTTTCAAAGAAAGTTATTTAAAAAGGGCAGGAGAAGCAAGGTGGAGGACAATGAACTATCTGGACAAGGTATGTACACTATTAGAAAAGCAATAAGGAATACAAGAAAAAGTACTTGATAAGGTAATATAAAAAGTATACCCTAAAATTATATATGTACAAGTTTATACTATGTAAAAACTGTGTTTATGCAGAATTAATTGGAATCAGAACCCATAAGTAAATGCAAATGAGTCAAAGCGACGGTGTGGTGGTTGTGATTTTTTAAAATATAAAGTTATTAATGTACAATATTTTAAAGAGATTATACCCACTAAATTCTACAAGTTCCGTTACTTACACCAAAACCTCTAGTCCAGCAGTTCTCAACCCTGGGCAGGGCCGCCTCCCCCTCCTTACCCCTCCAAGGAGACACGTGGAAATAGAGTGTTGTTGGGTAGTCGCAATGCCTGAGCACTTCTGACATGTAGAAATCGCACAGGACAAGAGCTAGGTGTGCAGACACCCTGCAGCACATGGGACGGTCCCACATGATGAACAAGTGTCCTACATAGAACATCAGCAGCGCTACTGTTAAGAAACTAACTGCCTTGAGGAGTACGATAGAGATCAATTAATTATTCTATTACTACTCACATACTACCCAAGATACGCTATAAAAATCCTAACATTCGACCAAATACCACTAATTGTATACCATTATGATTTAAAAATGAATCTACCTTTTTCACACATACACACACAAACGCACACACAAAGCTATGAAAAAGTACGTAACCTCTCCTCAATGATGAAAATGGGCAAAAGAATTTTACATAAATAGAAATAAATCACTTCATTTCCTGAGAGGTCACATTGCCTTGATGCTAGAAATGAAAAATGAGCAAACATGAGGGTCTAAATATCATCCCCATGTATTAAACACATTTTTGCACCTTATCAATACACTATTATCCCACAGGTAGCCCCCAAACATTTGTCAGTAACTCCTAACCTGTGACAGCTGCAGGGTCAAACAGAAAGTGGCCGGAAGCCCTGCTGCCTCTGGCATGCCCGAGAGCTGGGAAGTTTGCTCCTCATGCAAAGTGCCCCTCACCCCTTGGGTGCCACCCAGACATGCTTGCAGCTACTATGGATAGCCCCTCCTCCCTGGCCCTGAAAGAAAAGGGGAGGAGGAAATGGAAAATTCTTTCGTGTAGGTTGTAGATATATGAACTCCTGTATGTTCAATTAAATCGCTTTTCCTACTTTTCCACATTTTCGGTACTTAAAGAGATTCAGGATCCTATTTAATTTTCCCAAAGGCTGTTGATACTGCCATCTAGTGAATACAGTCCTTTTTACACCAGAAAGTCACAAAAATTTTAAGAGCTCATGGGCCCTCTATTTCAAAGGGAGAGTTCAGGGAGTGTAAGTATCCTGTTTTTCATCTCATTTGAACTATCGCTTATTTTACATTGAGAAGAGGAAAGAAGTTACGAATAGAAAGTTTTCAGGCTATGTATGATTCCCCTGTGTAATCAGTAAACAGAAATGAGCACAATCGGGTTAAACAAGCCTACTCTACTTCCCCGTAAAGTACTGAAGCTCTGTTTTACCTCCAGCCATGGGTGGACTTACTCTCAACGTGCGGTTGATGGCATGGCCCACGTGTCCCACTTGTGCGGTACTCGTGATTCTTCTGAATAGCCGGTTTATTGAATCTTAAAGACTCTTCGCCTTGACTGCGGGAGAGCACAGAGCCAAATCAGTGGCTTATTTCCAGTGTTATCTACAAGACCTTACGCAATGCATGCTATCTCTGTTTTTACTTCTCATTTCCTTTTCTTGCTGTTTCCCTCTGTCCCAATATCCTCACCCACTGATTTTTAATTTTATTTCATATAACCTTTTAAGCCACCATAATTTTTTTTTTTTCTGAAACAAGACTGGGTACATATAAACAAAATCCATTACTGTTATTTGTATGCTGCGCCTGCTGGGCCCCTGACCACGTAACCATAAGGACACGGATGACAAATATCACAGGCCATGGTGGTTCCTGCCTGAGGTGACTCTTAGGGGTTCCCTTTCCACTTGTTAACTCCTCATTAGCAGAACTGCTGATGGTTGAAACTGGGGTTGAAATTACGGCCATCATCAAAGATATTAATTATCACTTATAATTGCTGCCTTCTTCACACTCCAGTATGGCCTCCTAAGATGTCTTGTCAAATCCAACCTCTTCAAGCTGAAGAGACTGATTCTTTATTTCCCATCCCACAAAACCACTGTGTCGCATCATGTTTGCACTTCGTCCCATTTCTGAGTAAGTGAATCACATATTTAAATTATAATGTTTTTTTTAAATTGTCTTATTCAAAGGCAAAATATAAACTATCATGGCAACAGGCATGAGGACAATACTGAAATCTCAATGGCTCTCCTTTCTCCCTCAAGAAACACGTAGGACGATCTATGTTACCTAACACATAGGACAATGTAGGCTGCCTTATCACCACTGTGGCCTACACCGTGCTTATCTAATAAGTCCTGCCTACATACTGCTGAGCTGCAGTCGATCACTATTGTTCAGATAATGACGCCCAGTGAGAGTTCATTACTGGGACATCTCAAAAGTCATATAAAAAATCCCCTTTCTTATCTCTAATAATTGGCTATTAAAAAACTACAGATTGTAAAAATTATATTCTCAATCCTATACCCAATAGTCACAACACCTGGCTCTGTGTATTTTCTCCAGAACTGCCAACAGCACAAAACAACTAATAATTTCCTATTAGCAAAGTAGAGTGTAGGAAGTATGGGTGGGTTGGTGTGGGAGGTGTCCTAGGTAATATGTATGTTCGTTATGCAAATAAACACAGATTTTATTTTAAAGCATCATATTTTTATATGTACAGGCATGTGCCCACAAAAGTTAAATGGTCAAGGTGATAGCTGAAATATGACTGGGAGGATAAACTATCAAAAATGCTTGGGTGAGTGGGGCCTAATAAGCCAGGTGTGAGCGGGGATCGGCTGTGGTCTGGGCACCTCAAGGCTCACCTGTGCTCACATGTTCAGGAGCTCGAGCCTGGGACAATGGTGTGTGCTCTAATTCTAATCCGGATCTGCAAAAAATTCCTGGGGCCATACACGTACTCTCCGATTCCTCCTTGGTTAATCATATTGGCCTAAAAAATCTACAGGAGAATCCAGTGATAAAAACAGAGGCAGAGTCGACAGTAAGTATACAGCATAAATGGACTACCAACAAAAGCACCCACAGAAATCTCGGCTGGAAAAAAAAAAAGGCTAAAGTGATTGTCTCAAATGATCTCATTGTTTTTCAAATGAGCCTGATACTAAAAGGACCTTCTTTGTAACTATCTCTGACCTTTTTCTCTGAGCCCAGCATTCAGAATAGCTAGTTCAGATGTGTACGTGATATAAAACAGGAACTATATGGTGTTTATATTTAAATTTAAAATATATTTAGTTATATTTAATGATCTCATTCCTAAGTTCCTTTTTCAGTAAAGTGGTTTTCGTTTCTATTACCGCAGTTTTAGTAATATGAATAAATAGAAGGTTTGTGCCATTAGACACAGTTACTGAATCAGTACCTATAAAATCCTTGGGCCTCCAGCTTTTATTCAGCTTCTTCTAATTTAAGGAGAGTACAACTTTCCTGTGAAACAGTGCAGTGAGACGACGCAGTCAAATGAAAGGTAGTTTTTGGAGTGATAATGAGTTAACACATGAAGATACAACCACTGCCCAACACAATGGAGCAGCTTATCTATGAGAGCAGTCATTACTATTGCTCTGAGGAAGACAGAAAAAGAGGGGAAACTTTATTGACAACTTTTATATGTCTAATGTACATTATAAAATTCTAGTCTTTGTTGCATTCCTTCTATTCCTACAAATGTATTAAACATTCAGGGTTTTTTTTAATGTCTAGGAAATTAAATGATGGTATCATCTGAAAGTTAAGAGAATTAGTCTCCAAGGTTCTGAATTTTAGACATACTCCTATCTAATGAGTAGACACTCTATTTTATTAAAAAGTGAAGTGAAGCATAACTTCCCTCAGTGGCTTCTTTGTTTGGAATCCAGCTTCTGTGCAGGGAGCAAGTGCTAAGACGTGTCTGAAAAGCATGGCAGTCAGGGGACATGGGTCTCATGGTTTTTATTCCAATTTCAGTCATCACTTGAGGACTCCACCTCTTCCCATCTATGTCCTAGACACAGTCTTGGGGATAAGTCTAGACGCCCAATTTTATAAACTGGAAAACAATGCACAGAGTTGGTGAGGAACTTGGTCCAGTTAGCAGGACTCTCAGTTCAGTGGCAATTGTCTGTGACTTACTAAAGGATTCCCTAGTTTGCCTGTTGTTTCTATAGGCAGAAAGCTGTGAACTGGGCCCAATACTAGCAAATGGAACTCTGGGGACTGCCAGCTAATGTCTCTACAGGCCAGAAAACCACCATGCGTGCCATGCTAACCTTCCCTTCAGATGTCGGGGGAACGGAGACAGGGCTGGTGGGCAGGGAGATAAGGTGATCTAATTATACTCAGGCCAGAGTAGCAAAGGAAGTGAGCACATACAGGACACAGAAGACACCTCCTTTCAGAGACAACTAATTCAAAATAATTTAATGAAACAACCAACTGGGAGAATACCATTGTTCTTCTCCAGGCTCATGGAGGAAATTAACACATTTGTAAAGAGTGGTCTTATAGAATGGCTTCTTTCCCTCTGCTCAGCCACAGTTCCCAGAAAATTGGGAAAGACCACAAACTTGATTTCTGTGATGGGTCTCGAAGATAAAATCAAATGTCAAAGACACTTAGGTCACAGACATGCAGCAAAAAGCATGTTTGCTCCTTAGCACAATTGAACTGCCTCCACTAACCCTCCCAGCTTTCCAAGTGTAGTCATCACTCTGGGGCCTGGAATATACAATTCCTCTCTTATCTACAAGGATTCCTGAATGACCCTCAAACTGAGGAAAGCTGGGGCCTGCTGGTTCCAGCCATCTCTTGATCAGAGTCAAGGGCACATGAACATCACTTAACATTATCTGACATAGGAGGCTGCACTTTGTCAAACCAGCTGTTGGTAAACCAACACTGGATACCTCTATGTCTTGTCCAAAGAGGGAGCTGCTTGGATTCCATTTTTAAAATCATACAAATAAACCAGTATTTCATTTTACTTTTTAACTATACCGGACACTGTCACCACTTCCACATCATTCCACTCATCAGAACTCCGTCTTTCCTCCTTCTATACAACCTTTGCTTAGAGGCTCACCATGGTTCACTTGGGGGAATGGGACTGGGGTCCACAGAGAATTTTTACGTTTACTTTATATACTTCCATACCATTCTAATTTATTAGGGTGATTATGTATTATTTTTATAATCTAGAGTCTTTGAGAAACTCTTTCAGCAAATCAAAAAATGTTCATACCTCTGACCTAGTTAACCTTGTAAATTTATCCCAAGGAAATTATTGCAGCCTAAAGATTTCACTACAATGATATCTAAAGTAGCAAAGAATTAGATACATCTATATCTTTAACATAAGAAAGATGGTTTACAGATTATAATACATTAATGCAATTGAATATTATTTATTATAGTTGTAAAGGCTTTTTGTAAATGAGTGGAAAATAACTAAAGTAAAAGTAGTATTCGAAATAAAAAGTATACCACATAAATAAAATATAAACTAATATAAAAATAAGATGAAAACGTGTTATAGTAGAGTGGTAGAATTTACATGCAATTTAAATAGTTTATTGATTTTCATTAACAAATAAATTAAAACAGTTGCTAACCAGTGATCTGAGGAAAATTAATTTTGCCACAGTTCCAAATTAAAATATTGGCCTACCTCTCCTTTATTTAGAGTTAACTTTTTTGGAATTTTATAAGCTTTCCTAAATTTTAATGAAACCCACTAAAGGAAATGAAAGAAGTACCAATGGGTTAAAAGGCAAAATAGGGTCACAGGAGCAATGTCTGTTATACCTACTTAAAACGGACTTGAGGTAGCAATCAGAAGTTGGAAGGAATTCCTCAAGTCCTCACAAACGAATCCATTTAACTTATAAGCTATAAACTTACCAAAGTACTTTCTAAATTAAAATACTGTCATAAGTAACACTATCAGTTTCATAACATGGTAAATTTATTCTAGTCAAAACTAACTGCAATGTATGGGGATGGTCTTCTTTTAAAATTTATTTTACTGTTTCAACCAACTTTCCGACGGGTTAGAGATCAAGTTTTTTTCTCTTCGCATTCTCAGAACATAAGGATTTTCAATGACCTTACAGAGGCCCAAGTCCCAGTGGGTAGCTGGGAAAGGAAGGACAGTGGCAGGTCAGCAGTGACCAAGAAGGCTAACAAGAAGCGTGAGTGTGTGCTCAAGTGCTATTTCCCATGCTTCCATCCAAGAAAGTGCTGTATTGAAGTGATGTGTATGAATGCATCCATTATGCCTTATCACTACTGCCTTATCCCACTCACAGTCTTAACACTGGCTTAGTTCACCTCCCTTGGAGACAATCTGGACCATCAACCGGGGTGGAGGCTCTTAAGTAACTTTATGAGTTGGCTTCATTTAGGTTGTTTCTCAGGTGTGGTTCAACAGCCACACCCTAAAAACTGACAACCTTTTATAAACAGCTTGTCAAGCCTGTTTATCCTTTTGGCTTGGGGAAA